TCCATAGAGGAGGGAACGGTTTTTAACAAGCCTAGTAAGGTATGTACAGGCCAAAGCCCAGGGGGAAAAGGCAGTGTTCACCTGCCTGGAGAGAGCTAGGGGTAGTGGGACATTGGGAGGCTATGACTGTCTTCAGGTCACGGAACTCCAATGGCAGTGTTTAAAATCAAACTGTCAAAGCCCCAGCTTAGAAAGAGGACAGAGAGAAAGACTAATTGAGAAAGTATTTTTAAATTATTTTTATTTATGTATGTATTGAGTAAGTAGGGTGTGTGGTGTGTGTGTGTGTGTGTGTGTGTGTGTGTGTGTGTGTGTTGTGTGTTGTGAGTATGGGAGGGGGTGCTGGTCATGCTTGTGCATCTGTGCATGGAGGCCAAAGGAGGACATCAGGTGTCCTGCTCTCACTTTCTGCTTCATTCCCTTGAGACAGGTTTCTTGATAAATCTGGAGTTAGGTAGGCAGCCAGCGAGGCTAAGAGGATTCCTTAGCACATGCAAGGAGGCACAGAAATGAAGTTGAAGCTAGCTCTCAAGCTGACCCAAGGCTAGTGACAGAGCAAAGTACCTAGGCTGGGGGGGGGGCAGAGCTGCCTCTGCTCCAGTGGTTCTCAACCTGGGGGTCATGACCACTTTTGGGGGTTGAATGACCCCTTCACAGGGGTCACATATCAGCTATCCTGAATATCAGATATTTACATTATGATTCACAACAGTAGCAATATTATAGTTATGGAGTAGCAAAGAGATCACTTTAGGGTTGGGGTTCATCACAACGTGGGGAGCTGTAATAAAAGACTGCAGCATGGAAGATTGAGAACCACTGCTCTACTCTACTCTCCAAGGACATCTACATACACAGAAAGAGTTGCGGCCTGGGCCTTACAAACCCTGGTGGGTATGGGTGCAGACCATAGAGAGCCACAGCATGGACCAGCCCCAGCAAGCAGCAAAGCAAAGGTAGGATCAGGCTACCTCTCCAGTGACGTGCAAGGCAGAGCCGCAATCCAGAGAGAACCATGCCCAAGCCTCAGGGAATTTGCTGGTGTTTCAGCTACAGCTCTTACTTCCAAAACAAAATTCCCAGCAAATGCAACTTCAGGAAGAAATGGCTCACAGTTTGAGGGTGCAGTCTATAGTGGTAGGGAAGTCACGGTGGGTATGGAGGTGGGAGTGTGAAGCAGCTGGCCACATCTGCATCCACAGTCAGGAAGCAGAGAGTTGAAAAAAGAGCCTCAACCAACTTTCTCCTTTTCATACCTGGGAGCTTGGCCCATTGATGGTGTTGCCCATGCTCATGATGAATCTTCTTGGCTCCTGGGAACCCTCTTAGGTACACCCAAAGGTGTGTTTCCATGGTAACTCTAAATCCAGTCAAGCTGACAATGAAGATGGACACACCAGGATTCTTACTTGGGACCGGTCACCTCTTTCTTCATTCCAATTTCTCCCTTCTGGAACTGGGGCATAGACCCCCACCTGTCCTGCTACTGTATTTGGAGGACATACCATGTTTGGTTTCAGATGAGAAGTGTTACATGAGGATAAACCAGACCCTGCGTCTTAACCATAGTTAACTTGTTAGTTAACTTGTTTCTTTCCCCCAGGAATGGGCATCCAGCCTAGGGCCTTGCCCTGTGCCATACACCACTGACTTATCCTCCCTGCCACCCTTGATTTGGACGAGACGTTAGTGTTGAGACTTTAGCGTGGAGAAGTTATAACTGTTACATTATTTGGGTATATGAGATGCAGTTTGAATTGTACAGAAATAAATTTGGGGGCTCCAGTGGAACAATATTATGGGCTGAATGTTTCTACCCTCCAAATTTGCATGTTGAAATACTCCCCCCCAATATGATGTCATTAGGACTTGAGACACTTGGAAAGCTTCTACCACGTGAGTGTGGGCCCTTCATTAATAGGATTAGAAAATCCTGGAGACCACCCCCCACAACCCCTTTCTGCCAGAATGCAATGAGAAATCAGCACTCCGCAGTTCCAGAGCCTGACCTGGCCCACCTCAGACATCAGCCTCCAGAGCTGTAAAAGGTAGACTCCCATTATGCACCCTTCCGGGGTAGTTCATCATGGAAGCCAGGGTGGATGGTAGTGACTGGGACTAGCCCTGGAGCAAACAGACTCTAGGCGGAAGATGCTGAGAGGGCCGTGTCCAGGAGATGGGATCTCGAAGGCAGGTGCAGTGCTTGGAAAGAAGACCAATCAGGAGCTTGTTTCTCAACTCCCAGAAGGCCTTGAGAAAACCGTGTGTCTTAGGGAACCAGGATAACCAGTTGCAGCTTCAGGATTCAGGGGGCTTTCTGTCACCTCTAATCCTCTTCTCACACTGAGTCAGGGAGAGATGGGGGATTACCTCTACTCCTGAGACCTGGGAATGGTAGACCCCTCCTGCTTTGCTTTCATTTCTGTTGCTGTGATAGAACACCCAGACCAAGAGTAATTTGGGAGAGAAAGGGTTTATTTTAGCTCAAGTCGACACAGGAACTTAAAGCAGCCAGTCACAACACATCCACAATCAAGACCAGAAAGAGAGGAGCAAACATACGCATACTCTAACAGTCCATGGGAACCGCACAGCTAAAGGTAGACTGGGGTTTCCCACCTCGACTAACCTAATCAAGGCGACTCCCCACAGACACGGCTGATGTAGACAGTCCCTCATTCAGACTCTGTCTGGTTGTGATTGCCAGGCTGTGTCAAACAACAATTAACTAACCATCGCCCCTTCCAAGCAAAACAGCCCTCTCTTCACTTCTGTTTCTTTCACTCGTCCAGTTCTGCCTCCCGTCCACTCATCCACAAATGAGTAATGCTTGGGGCGGGAGCGACGGCTCAGTGGTTAAGAGCACTTACTTGTTCTCGCAGAGGACCCGGAATTTAGTTCCCAGCATCCGGATGGTGGCTCACAACCATCCAGTTCCTGGGGATCCAATGCCCTCGTCTGATTCCTGAGGGCACCGGGCAAACACGTCGGTAACATACATGCAGGCAAAACACTCAAACACATAAAAAACAATAAACATCGCTGCCTCAAGCCTTCGGGAACCGGTTCATTTAAAGGAGTGTGGAGGGGGGTCTGCGGGGGAGGGGGGTTGTATCCCACCCTCACTCCCAGGTACCCGCAGAACTGGCCAGGCTGCTTCAGATAAAGGCAGCTGTCACCTGGTTCCCCCAAGAGGAGCAGGCTGGCCCCAGCTAAGGGGACCGGGCAGCAGGCCCTCCAGATTCCCACGTCACACCTGAGCTGCAGCATAAAGGAGTCTCTGATGGAAGAGCTGCATGCTTGGCTCAGGGTCACTTCCCTCTGAGTGGATTTGAACTTCTTCCCTCGCTCGCTTACTTCTCTCGCGCTGTACTAGCTAACAGTAGGGCACAGATCTGAAGAATCCTACAGCGGTTCCTGCGGTTTCAGGGAACTTCGGTTCTGCCCCGCTCAGGCAAGCCATCTGCACTGGGGTCCACACCCACCTACCCAACACACACACACACACACACACACACACACACACACACACACACACACACACACACACACGCACACACACGGGTCAAGAGCAGGGGTGCAGGGGACACCTCTGTGTCCCTCCAGCTGGGATTAGAGGGTGCACCTTCCCAAGGTACGGTCGGGAGACTGAAGCCGTCATGGGAACTGCAAAGGGGGCCGGAGAGGACGAGGTGCAGAGGGATGGGACAGAGGGTCGCCTCGCCGGCGCCTTCCAGGAACCCGGGGGCGAAGCTGCGAAAACCGCCCCCCCCCCGGGAGAAGGGGGGGAACTCGGGGAGGCAGCTCGCCGTCCCTCGGTCCCCGCGTCTCCCGGCACCCAGCGGCCGCGGGGGAGGCAGGCGCCGCGGGGCTCCGGCCCGTTGAGGAGTCACCGCCCCCCGGTCCGGGTGCACCGGGCCCCAGCGCCCCCACCCCGCCGCCGCAGGCCTCGCCCCCGCCGCGCGCGCCCCGCCCGCCCCCCTCGTTGCCGTGGCAACCCCGGGAGCCTCCGGGCGCGCGCTCGTCCGCGGGAGCGCTCCACGGCGGCGGCGGCGGCGGCGGCAGCTCCGGCCAGAGCCGCGCGCGCTGCGACCTCGCTCCGGAGCCCGCGCGTTGCCCCCGGCCGGGCCCTGGGCCCCCCGCGCGGCCCCCCACCGGCCCTGGAACCTGCCCTGTCTCGGGTCCCCATGGAGCTGCTGGCTGCCGCCTTCAGCGCCGCCTGCGCCGTGGACCACGACAGCTCCACCTCGGAGAGCGACACGCGCGACTCGGCGGCGGGACACCTGCCCGGCAGGTGAGGACCGGTAGCGTCCCGGCCCCCGCCAGCGGCCCCGCGTGCTTCCTCCCACTCGCGCCCGGGACGGAGTTCACGACCCTTGCGGCCTATCCGGGCGCCCGGGCTCCTGCTGCCCCCCACTAACTCTAACCCGTCGGATCTGAGTTCCCCTTGGGAGAGCCGTGCGCTTCCTAGTCCGGGTCACAGCACCGAGTCCCCGAGCGGGGTGGCCTCGGGCTCCCTCTTCCAGGACGCCCAGAGTGCGCGCGTCCCGCCCTGCGCCCCTCTCTGCGCTCCGAGTCTCTGGGACCCGAAGGTCAGAGGCGCAAGTGGGGCCAGGGGCGCGCGACAGCTAAGGGCGTGGGGTGGCAGCGGGCTGGCAGGACCCGTTGGGGCGGCCTTCCGCGCTGTGGAGCGGCCAGGGTACGCCAAGTTTCCGACGCCTGCCCGCGAGCTCGAAAAACATGAAGGTTTGGGCGGACGGGTGTGGGAGTGAATCACCCTGTCGCGCCCTGGTTTGGTGACAGAAAAGGTTTGTAGGGCTCGCCCGGGCCCGGACACGTGGCGGTCACTGTGACCCATTGGCTTTGGGCACGCACGAGGCAGTAGTACCCCTAGCCAGCAGCCGCTTGTGCCGACGGATGGTCGCCTCTTGCGATCTAGCCAAGGTGTGTCGCTGCTTAAAAATAAACAGCCCTCCCTCACTCTCCTCCCTTTCTTGCAGCGAGTCATCCTCCACCCCTGGAAATGGGACCACACCCGAGGAGTGCCCTGCCCTTACTGACAGCCCCACCACGCTCACCGAGGCCCTGCAGATGATCCATCCGATTCCCGCAGACTCCTGGAGAAACCTCATCGAGCAAATAGGTGGGTCCGGGGTGGGCAGCGCCTCTTTTAGAACTTGTGAGCCTAGTGGATTCCAGGGGACCCTGACTTCTGGGCTGGCTGGCGGTTGGCTTTTGACGTGAGGGCTTCTAATTGTTTCCCGGGCGGAACTGCCACGTTTTATTAGTGCTACGCCACTGGGCCAATTTAGCTAGGGACTGTGGTTTATTTGTGAGACGGCAGCCCTGGCTGGCCTGGGATTTACTCAGTAGCCCAGGCTAGCCTGAACCTCGTACAGGCCTCCTTCAGTTCTTGGGTTACGAGCTTGAGACTCTATGCTGAGCTTTAGCGGTGAGTTTTGATCCTGGTGTCTTTTGGAGAACACTCTTGGTCCAGCCCTCTCCTGCAGAAAACGCTGTTTCCTGTGACTTCTGCCCTGAAACAGGGAATGCAGTAGCCTGGTTGGAGAAAGGATGAAGCCTTCTTTGGCCTCATAGGGGGAGGTCCTGGGAGGACCTGGAAGGTAGCCAGGAATTGAAGCGGTACGCAGGAGCTCTGGGAAGAGCTGGGCTGGTTGTACAATCTTCCCACGAGTGGAAATGATAGAGGCAGGAGTGCCACCGCCTTCCAGAAGATTCTTTCCAGAAGGCTGCCCAGGAGGAACCTAAGGAAACAGCACTCGGGGGTCCTGCTTCTCCAGAGCTGGGAGGAAGTTCTGAGAGTCCTCAGAGGACTGAGGTGTCCTAAGAGCTGAAGCTTTTGCACTTCAAAAATGCTACTGACAGTGAACTATTTCTCATGTTACCACCAGGGCCACCTGTGAACGGTTCCTGTTAACCAGAAAATGATGCTGGCTGCTTTGAAAATATTCTGGGATGTTGCCAGAGCTATCAATAACCTATTCTTTTAAAAACAAATGTTAGATTTTGAAATATATATATACACACATATATGATATGTAACGCTTATCTTCCAGTGCCAAACCCTGTAAGGGACAGGCACAGTGTCTCCATGGTTGCAGTGGAGCAGACCCAGCTTAGGGAGACTTCTTAGGAAGGCTGCTGCTCTTTCAAGCTGGGAGCTTCCTACCCCAGGCCTGGGAGGAAGGAGCCGGGGCCTAGGAGATAGATTTCTGCCTGAAGATAGACCATACCCACCCTGGTTTTGTCTCTGTGGTCCTCCACCAGTCAGGCAGGGGATGCTGGGGACGTGAGTGTGTTCTGTGTTGACTCTGGCACTGAACCTGGTGCTTGGCACGTAGAGATTGCTTGTTAAAGAGTAAGTGAGTGGCTCGCCCTTTACAAGTAGGCTTGGAAGATTTGAAGGATAAATGTTTTCTCTTCGGGAAGATAGGTTTTGATGATGAGGTGGAGGGGGCTTTGGTTGGAGGAGCTGGGAGCTCCCTGTCTAACAGAACACGACCAACCCAGTACAGATTATCTCAGTAAGAGATGGGAACAAAGCCTTTCTGCTCTGCCTGCATACCGCATAAGCCTGAGCTTTGACAGAGAAAGTTAACATCCGCAGGAAACAACGAACCAAACCAGGAGACATTAACAGAGGTTTGAGGCCAGAAGTTGCACGAGATAAATCTATTTATATGAAAATTGGGATTTAAGACAAATAAAAATGAAGGACTATGAAAAGTGGTACGTTAGACCATTGTAATCACGGTAACCCCAGAAGGGCAGGAGCTGGAGTGCAGCTTGAGTGGGAAAAGGTATGGAGCCTTTTGAAACGTTCTAACATGACTTGTGTTAAGTATTTGGCTGGAAGTAAAAATATCCAGAGACAACGAGTCTTCAGCAATGGAGGTGGCCCATCTTGTTTAAGGAGTTGAGAGGTAGAAAGTTCAAGCGTTGGCTCACGCACCTACACAGTCGCCCAGTGATGGTTCCTGCATTCCCTCCTTTATTTGGATTTTGTGTTACAAGGTGGCTGCTGCAGCTCCAGATGCCATATCCTCAGGCCAAGGTCTGTAAAATCAGGAAGGGCTGTTTCTTTTTATGTGTCGGCATCGGATGGATACTGTCTTAGTGTTCTATTCCTTCACCATGAGACACCATGACCAAAGCAACCCTTATAAAAGAAAGGATTTTATTGGGGCTTCTTTACAGTTTCAGAGGTGAGTCCATTATCATCATGGCAGCAGGCAGGCAGGCGAGGAGCTGGAGAAGTAACTGAGAGCCACATCCTGATCCACAGGCAGGCAGCAGGCAGAGAGAGATACTGAGCCTGGCATGGGCTTTTGAAACCTCAAAACCATCCCCAGTGACATACCTTCTACAACAAGGGCACACCAACTCCAACAAAGGCACACCTCCCCAACTGGTAAGCAAGCATTCAAAACTGTGAGCCTCTGGGGGCCATTCTGATTCCAACAACTGCAGACACCATTTTAAGAAACCCTTAGACAATATCCTTCCTTTCTGTCTCCTTCACTGGTATGTTAATCCATACTTGGATTGAGTGTCTTGGCATATTTTGTAATTGCTGTGGTAAAATACTGGAGGCTAAACTTTATACAGAAATTAGGTTATTTGGCTTTTTTTTTTTTTTTTTTTTTTTTTTGGTGTAAGAGCAGGCCACCAGTTTACCAGTTTCTGTTGGCCCTGGTGAGGGCCATGCCACACACAGGAAAAGGTATCAAGGGAAGACTATGAGAGGGAAGCTAGAGAGGCCCAGGTTTCAGACTGTTGATTTTAGAACCACCTGCTCTTGATCAAAGGCTCTGATGGAACCTTTAAGAAGAGATGCCTATGTCACTTAGTTACCTTCTTTAAGGCCCCCTTCACAATGGAGACCAAGCTGACAAGCACTTGAGCCTTTGGGGGAAAAAAATGCAACATCCAAATCTTAACCCTGGTAATGGATAAACAGTTAGGTGTTTCCCCTTAGAGATCTGCAGCCCCAGGAGGCCTGTGTCTGGTGAGGGTTGCTTTCTCTCTGCCTCCTGGATCTCTAAGAGTCCCACATGGCAGGAGAAACACCCTCCAGCCACCAACGGGACCCAATTCCCAAAGGCCTTTCCTCCTACCTCTAGCACATGGGCTTTGGTTGCCAGCACAGGAATTGGGGAGGAAAAGCCCACCACCACTGTTGGGAGCCTCCATCAGTCCCCACCCACTTCCCTGAGCACCGAGTGTCCAGCCCAACCCTCTCTCCCCAGTGGAAAGCAGGGGCGGGAGGGGACAGGGAAGAGGCGGCGTCCACTGTGAAGCACTTTCAGAAATACCATTTTCAACACAGCTACCCACAGTGTTGGTATTTTTGTCTCCTGCCAGCACACATACCACTGAGAAGTCTGGGGTAGTATTTGCCCACAGTTTGCTGGCTGTGGCATAAGATACATTTTTTTGAGCCTTTAAAACATGCTAAGTTAGATGCTTCCGGGAAGCTTGGAAATGGTGATTATAAAAGGTGTTCAACCATGACTAAGTACCCACTCTGCTAAGTCACTGTGAGGAAGCCCCAGCAAGCATCGTCAGAACCTTTGGGTGATAATTAGCTGCGGAGGTGGTAAAATGATGGCCACACAAGAGGGAGGACTTGGGTTTAACCCCCAGAACCCTCTAAAAGCCAGGCATGCCAGCACACATCTATAATCCTAGTACTGAGAGGCAGATACAAGAGAAACCCTGGGGTTCGCTGGCTAGCTTGCCTAACATAGCTGGTGAGCCCCAAGCCAATAAGAAATCCTGTTTCAAAAGAAAACACCCGAGGTGTCCATCACCTGAAGAATGGTGAGTGCTCCCCACATGCAAGCACACATACATGTACATGGACACAAATGGGCACCCCAACGTACACAAACAGGTATGTGTGTGTGTCTGTTGAAGTGGCTTCTGTGGTGACGCTGGACCATCCCTAGAGTGGAGTCCGGCATGGACTTTCATGTCGTTAGCATCCCTCTGGCCAGTTCTGCAGCCGGGAGAACTGTGAAAACACAGGATCCTAATCTTCTGAGGGAGGGCAGTGCTGTCCTGCCTTGCTGGAAAGGCTTCATAACACAGAGTCACAGAGTCACCGAGTGTCGGAAGCAAATAATTTAATCAATGGGATGGATTTATGAGACTCTTGCTAGCGAATGCAATTTATCCAGCCGCTGTCAGGATTTCCACGGTGATCTATTTCTCTTCTGCCCCTTTCTACTTGCTGTTTAGACAGGCTTCCGAGCGGCGTGAAGGAGTATGGCTTGCATCCCTGCTGCTTCCAGGGCAACGACTTTGCAAGGGTCTCACTTAACCTTGCTGGATCTTATGTGAGAAAAGCTCCAGTGTGTCCAACTGCCCAATGGGGCTCCCTGGTTCCCCAAGTACACTTGCCTCTCTCCATCACCCCGGCCCTCCGCTCCTTGCCTCTACCAGTGGTGCCACCAGACCTCTTTCCAAGCTGGTTGCTGTGACCCAGTGGATCTGCTGTTCGTGATCCAGTGCCAGGGCTTGTCTTCTACCTTAGAACCATGCTATGAGTTAGGGCCTCGGCTCTGTCCTCCCCCTCCCTCACTTAATTGAGGCCCTTGTCCTTATAGTCCTGGCCATACCAGGGGCCCTATCCTCCCTGCCATGCAATCAGACACATCTGCACCCCTCCCTGGGGTCTGCACAGGCCCTCGGGGCACAGTTCTACCCCAGTGGCATGACCTACAAGACGCTTGGGGTGAACCCCCTTCTACCAGCCTCTCAGCAGGCAAGGTCACATGCCCTTGCCCCTGCCAGCCTGAGTGAGACTGTCCTTCTGCTCTGCAACAGAATAACCCAAGTGTTTATTTCTTTTCTTTTCTGTGAGGTGCTGGGTTTACACTGATTCATCAGCACCCCTAGTTTCCCCCTCCCCCCCAGCAATTTGTGTCACATTTGTTTTTAAATGTGATTGGTCAGGGAATTATGCCTTCAGGTGTGAGTGGCAGAGGCAACAGTTTCCTTTGGACTCAGTTGATGAGACACTGATTTAACATGGAAACTCATAACAGCTCCCAGTACAGGGATGCACAGCTTCTTAAGTTTTAATATTGAAACATTTAAAACTGGGGAAAGGACCCTGGTGGGATATTGAAACATAATTGAGATATTTCCATCACTTTTGCATGCATGCCTATTAGCGCATCAAGGTCTGTATTCTTGTTTTTTTTTTTTCCAGTGTGTGTGGGAAAAGCAATTTTGCATCTACTCAGGGATTTCTTTACTTGTCAAAAGACGCTTACACATGCTGATCTTCCCCAGAAACGAAGGCGATGGGAGGTCTTTCTGCAGGCTAGAGCCTGCTGCTGAGGCCTAGGACACGCTGGCTTTCTCTCTGTGTGTGGGGGCTTCGCAAGGACCACAGTCTGACATCCTGCTCTTGTCTTTGTGACAACGCTTTGATTTCAGGGCTCCTGTATCAAGAGTATAGGGATAAGTCGACTCTCCAAGAAATCGAAACCCGGAGGCAACAGGATGCAGAAGTACAAGGCAACTCAGATGGGTCCCCGACTGGGGAAGACACCCCAGAGGAGGAAGAGGAAGAGGAGGAGGAGGAGCTGGCCAGCCCACCTGAGAGGAGAGCTCTGCCTCAGATCTGCCTGCTCAGCAACCCCCACTCCAGGTTCAACCTCTGGCAAGACCTTCCAGAGATCCAGAGCAGCGGTGTGCTGGACATCCTCCAGCCAGAGGAGATCAAACTGCAGGAGGTAATGCAGGTTCCGGGGGTGGGAGGTGCAAGGTCGAGGGACCCTCTGTGGTGCTGAGGTTCCCATCTGGCTCGCTGGAACAGTTCAGGGCTGAACTTGTCTCTCTAACACAGATAGGGAAAGAAACATTTATCAGGTCACAGACCACCCAGCCTGGCTCAAGGCCCCTTGCTGGACGTTAGAAACGTTGATGTTTTGTTAGCTGGGGTGGCTGCGTCTCTGTTTTGGTGACATTGAGGCTCCAGGTGGTATGGAACCAGTGACTGTGAAATAGTTCTAGTCTCCTGCAAGTGACAGAGTCAGGCGTGTGTCTTCCCACATTTGGGGGCCTTGTGCATTTTGGATGGTTGAGGGTCCAAGAGACCCTTTGTGTGAAGGTCCAGGCCATTCTCCCTGAGATCAAGGAGGGAGAGGCAGCCAGTGAGTGGCACAATGGTTGCTAGCATGGAGGAATAATCAATGTGGAGTTATCAGTAACAGAAATGTGTGGCAAATGTGTGTTTTTGTTGAGCAAGGATCTTAATCTTGTTAGTACTAGGAAAGTGTGGTAGAGAGAGAGGATGGCCAGTGGTAGAATGGAGTGGTCAGCAGGGGAGGGGAAGACAGAGAGAGATATTTTGTAACTTGCTTGTGTATGAACTTTGTATATAAAAACATCATGTCTCCATGTCAAATTTGGCATTTGGTCATTCGGCTAATGACCAAAACCAGAGCAAAGCTCCTGTCTGTGTCACTCAATTCAATTCAGGCTCCACTGCTGAGAAAGGACGTCATTTAGAAAGACCACCCCTATGGGGTTCACCTGTGTGTCCTGTCTGGCAGCATCAGGTAAAAATGTATTTGAACTTTGACCTGCTACCTGGGGACCACACCCAGACTTTGTCTGGGTGGTTGTTGTCTAAAACTTAGAGATCCATTCATATATTTAAAACTTTGAAACAGAGTATAAGCCTTTCCCAGCATAAACGGAGCTAAACACAGAGAAGAGCGTCCTCTATATATCACATAGGAAGGTGACCAAAGTCAAGGAATGCGGCACTTGCCTGTAATCTCAGCACACCACGGCTGGAGGCAAGAAGATTGTTAATTCAGAGTCATCTCGCCCCAAAGGCAATCAGAGGCAAGCCTGGGCTATGTTAGTGCCTGCCTCAAAAATTAAAACAGAAACAAAAGGCAGAAAAATAAAAACTAAATAGCATAAATATGGTAGGTGAGCTCCGTCCCCCACCCTCCATATATAAAGGAAAATGAACACTGGGGAACTCTCAGAGGGTTAGAAAACCAAGTCACCATATTATCAGACACAGAAAATACCGCCAACAGCCCTTCAGGTGGGTAAGGGTGCCACTTATTTCTAAATGTTTTACAACTCCAGAAGTAGCCCACTAACACACTTCCACTATTTTTTTTTCAAAAGCAGACAATACAAACGCCTTCACTGGGCCCCTCACAGCTTGCAGCTGAATTTTTATGAAGACAACCCCTGCTCTGCTGGGCGTGAGAGCACAGACCAGTGATTCCTTACCAGGTGGAAGGCAGACTTCCAGGCTGCATGTGGAAACCCTGTCTCAAAACGTTCCCTCAGCACCCTCACTCACTTGCTTTTTAGCATTAAAGGGACACAACCGCATTGCAGTAAACAAGTGACTTGAATAAGGACAGAGGAGCCTGAGTGCGCACAGGGGTCAGCAGTGCTCACGGGCTGGCCGGGATGCTCTGAGGACACAGTGCAGGGGTGGCACTGGGCAGCACAGGCTCCAGATAGCTCAGTCATGTGTGCAGTTTATCCTTGTCCTCTTTCAAGACCGTGGGCACCTCGCAGCAGTGAAAGCGTGTCTCACATCAGACCCAACACGGGGCATCCAAAAGGCAGTGTAGGCTCAGGCAGCCCCCAGTCTGAAAAACCCTGAGTCTAAAATGCTCCAACAGAATTAAGCACAGACAGGATGCCACAAGTGAGCAATTCTACCCCAGCAAACTGTTTCACGTGTAAAACTGTTGGGAACGTTTTCTGGAAAGTTCCTTTTAGCGGGCTGGAGAGATGGCTCAGCAGTTGAGAACACTCTTTGCTCTCCTAAAGAACTGGAGTTTGGTTCCTTGAACCCACGCTGATCAGCTCATAACCACTTGTAACTCCAGCCCCAGGGGTAGACACATTCTTCTGTCCTCTGTGTGTGTGTGTGTGTGTGCGCGCACACACACACACACACACACACACACATTACTTAAATTTAAATTACTTTTGAAGCTGTATGTATAAACTACATACAAACATAAACGAGTTCCATATTTACACCAAGTCTCACTTCCAACATTGCTCATTATTTTTATGCAAATATCCCCAAACCCAAAAATGAAAACCTGAAATCAGAAACTAAGTCATAAGTGTTGGGGTAAAGAGACTGGAATTTCACCCTGCTACCGACTGTGAGAAAGGCCATGATCACCCACAACTCCAGTTCCAGCACTAAACCTCTACACTAAACCTTCTCTTTGATCCATTGAATGAACAGTGTGTCTTGTTTGGGTGTATTATTTTTGCCTTTTTTCTTTTCATCCTTCTTCTTCTCCTTCTGATCCTCTTCCTCCTCTTCCTTCTTCTTCCTCTTTTTCTTTTTCTTCTCCTTCTCCCTTCCTCCTCCTCCTCTTTTGAGACAGGGTCTGAGGCTGACCTCAAACTCACTAGGTAATGGAGAATGATCTTGAACGGTTTTAAAAATAGAATTTTTATTTTATTTATTTAGTTGTAAACACTTCCGTGTGTGTTTGTATTGCTTGTATCTATCTTGTGCACCTCATGTGTGCCTGGTGCCCTCAGGTGTCAGAAAAAGGCAATCAGGTTCCATGGAACTGTAGTCATGGGTGGTTGTGAGCTGCCATGCAGGTGCTGGGAACCAAACCCAGGTCATCTGCAAGAACTCTATGAGCTCTTAACTGCTGAGCCATCTCTCTAGCCCCAACCTTGAATTTTTGACCCTCCTGCCTGCATTTCCTGAGTTCTGGGATTTCAGTCATGTGCCATCATGGCAGGTTGAACTGGCATGGGGATGGAACCCAGGATTCACGCTGGACAAATGTTCCATCAACTGAACTGCATGTTCAGCTGCCCATGCCGCCCAGCTTCATTGTCCCCTTTTCTGTTGAGCTTCTATACTGATGTTCTTGACTGAGTGGTTTTTATGTTCTGAATATTAATTCTTCTGACATTTGTAATGTTTTTCCTGCTTCATAGCATAGGGGAAGTAACAGAATGTTTCCTCACACCTGTTCCGGTACCCACCTGTGTTTTAATTCTTTGCTCCACCACTCCTTAGCTGTGTAGCATTGGCTTATCCATAAAATGCAAGTATCTGGATCTACTTCCCGTTCCTATAGTAGGACAGAGACTTGGCCATTTAAAATAATAATAATAATAATAAAAAGATGTAAGTTCAGCTTGAGCTTCTGCAAGCTAGGAGGTTCAGGTGAGGGAGCTGCATCTGATGGCGGTATCTTGCTGCTGTAGGAGGCTAGTGGCAATTGGGAATGCACAAGAGAGAAAGAGGTGCTGAACACTGTCCCCCTCCAGCCCTGGCTTCCAGTAGCTTCCTTATTTCCAAGAGAAAAGCATCATCCACTCATGAAGGCACCTTCTTTGCAAACCCAAGCACCTCCTGAACTGAGAGCCAGGCCTCATGTGGGCTTTAAAGGGACACCAGGCAGAGCAGGGCTTTCTGGCTCCTGCCATTTCTCTGCACAGATCACGAGAATTTCCACATTCAAGATCAAGCAGGTGGGCTTACCTCTGGCACAGCTGTCTTCTTTCGTGGAAAAGCCTCTCTTCCTTTCTTGCAAAATTTTCCAGCCTGTTTTTGTCCTTCTTCAGAATCTTCTGGATGGTATCTTAGGTGAGGAGGAAGAGGTGCTCACAGGGAGAAGCCAGGATGCATTGGGCCCTGGGGTCCTTTAGTCACACCATGCTGTTTTGTAGAGGGACACAGGGAGCCTGAAGAAGAATCATAGGGTCGTCTGTAAAACACTCGTCACGCTCCAAAGACTTAGTGCACTGAAAGCGGGTGTGCGCCTCCTCATTAAAAATCCTCAGAGCCAGAGTGGTGGCTCGTGGTTGTAATCCCAGCACCGGAAAGGCTAAGGCAGGAGGTCGCTGGAGACTCACATACCCTTTAGTGTTTTACATGGCTTCAAATTCATTTATTTATGTATTTACTTACTTATTTTTTTACCTATTTATTATTGTGTGCATATGCATACACAATACTGTGTGTGTGTGTCAAAGGACAACTTTGTAGAGTTGGTTCTCTCTTTCCACCTCAATATGGGTTCCAAGGATCAAATTCTGGCCATCAGGCTTATGCAGCAAGCACCTTTACCCACAGAATCGTCTGCCCAACCTGAGACTCCTACTTCTGTAGAACCATATTGCTCTAAAGAAAAGTAGTGCTTGTTTTTCCAGTGACCATAAATACCATAAAAAATGGCTCAACAGTTAAAAGCTTGGCCTTTCCATTCCAGAGGACCTGAAGTCAGTTCCTAGTACCTGTATGGCAATGCACAACCATCAGTAACGCCGATTCCAGGGGACCCAGCACCATCTTCTGGCCTCCATGGGTGTCAGGCATGCATATAGTATATAGACATAATGCAATCAAGCCCATTTATATTTATATTTATTTATATTTAATATATACTAAAAAGAAAGTTTATATTTTAATACTTGTTGAAATTGCACAGGCTGTAATATCTCACTGCATTTATCTCTATTATAGTAAAACAAGAAAATAAAATGTAAATACCATAGGAATTGAGCCAGGTGTGGCAGCGCTTATCTGCAAGTCGGTAATCCCAGCACCCGGGGGTTGAGGCAAGAAAATCATCTCAAGGCCGGCCATGCGTGCATAGTGAGTATGGGCTAGCTTAGGCTACACGGAGACACCTGTCTCGAGAAACAAAACCAACTAACCAGCCAAACGACAACAACAAAACCCTTCAAATCACGAATG